TCCAGCTTTTATGACTCATGTAGTAAAATACTTTTTTTAACCCTCAGAGGCATTGGTGCCATCTTATGTAGTCTAATTGAGAGAACCAAGGACAAACAGCACAAAGGCTGATAAAATGCGACTGCCGCAGCAGCCATAGAGCTGCTAAACCGATTCTGTCTGCAAAGATACAAAACAAGCATTTAGCATTATTGTCTTTTCTATTATGTGTCAGAGTGAACATTTTCAGACATATAGCCTAAGAAAGTAAGAACATGTTTGGGGTTTTAAAGGCGTGCAAAAAAATTCATACACATAAATACATTTTATTGGAATCTTTGGTGAAAGAACAAGACATAGTGGTATAAAACTGGGAAGTATAAAGGAAATTATACATGATTTAAAACATTTTATTTTACAAATAAACAGCTGAAAAGTACAGGGGGGAAGTGTTCAACACCCTTTCCTTTGAGGTTTGTTTTGAATATGTCAAATTGTTGCTCCTACCCTTCACCCTCCACAGGTCTAACAGTAAGACCGCTATCCAGGGTAGGAAAGGAACTCCGACTGCTGTGTTAAATACAGATAGCTTTGTCTTGTGGACAACGATACATGAAGGACACACACATGAATTAAAGTAATTAACTTATAGGATTTAAAATAAATCCATTATACTTACATTGGGACCTAAAGTGTAATCTATAACCTTTCAAGTTGATCACTTATTCATTTAATTTCTTGTGTTTTTACAATCTTGTGTTGTTGTACTATATTAATATTGGAGAGGTTGCTTAAAACATTTACTCAGTAGTTATCTCTCTGTTTGAGAAATTTGTTGCCACCCATATGTTTGGTTACATCTGCATCTCCTGGGCAGAAACTCAGAGTTTACTGAAGTAAACCTGCCACTGACCAGGTTAGTTTTGGGGAGAATGTTACCATGGCGACTGAAACAGAGGCTGAGGAAACTCTCTTTGTGATCCAGAAAAGTCAGAAATTCCTTGTTTTCAGGTTTAGGAACTTAGAGTTTTCGATAAACCTGCTTCATGAAACGGACCCCTGACCTCATCACTCTTGTGTTTGCAATACTGTGGTTATGTCAAGCATGGGAAATTTGCTCACTCCCTATTTTTCACTATTATGTATGTAGGTACCAAAGTGTGGTACTTTTTTATTTTACACGAAAAGGTGCACAGTAGTACTGACAAAATCTGTCTGGTACCTATCAAAGGTAAATAGTCATGTTTTATGTCTTTACCAAAAATGCCAAAATCCAGTTGTTTATGATGAAAAAAGGTTATACACTCCAATCCTCCATCCTGATAGTTTTTTAATCGTCTATTTTGAGCCGACATATAACCTCAGCAATGGGCACGAAGAGCTGACATAAACAGATGTGGCGCCATCTTCTGGCAGCGCGACTAAACTACCAGAAAGATTACATGGTGGCCTTTGACACAGCTACCTAATAAGTCCCGACCAAGCTGACGGTGGTGCAATGCCTCACCCAAAACCGACCGCTTGCCATGGTCAAAGATTAACCTTACCTGCTCCTATTTCAAGTTCAAATGAGTCTTTCTCTGTCTCTCAAAAGGAGTAGTACTATAACAGGAACTTGGAGTACAGCAAAGTATGGTCAGTCATTTGCGGGGAAATTTTTACTTTACAAATAACTGCTAGTGTTGCACCAATACTGATACCAGTATCAGGCGGGGCCCCAATCCAGCACTAAAATGGTGGTATTGGTATCGGCGAGTACCAACTAATAGGGCACCAATACCATTTTGAGAGCCAAAAGTTTAACTATTATCAGCCATTCCAGGTAGGCAATAAAACCTTCTATTGGATTCTCTTTGTATTAGTCTTTTTCTTGCTTCACAAAGGTAGGCAGCAGCTTGACAAAGCCATGATGGTAATTATTTTACATCCAAGTAGTATGCAGTTCTTCATATATACACACACATCAATTTCAAACAGATGGTATCGTTATGGTATCGGTATCGGCCAATACTGCAAAGCCGATATCGGGTATCGGTATCAGGGCCAAAATATGGCACAGCCGCAATACTAAAAGCTACCATGGCTGATATGTTCAGTCTTAACAATACAGCCATTCAAGGTCATTACAAATAAGATGTGGTCTCTAGGTTATACTAATCCAATCAGGATAAGACTTAAAAACATAGCTACAGTAACATCAGAAGCACTATTAGGAAGGACCTATATTCATGTGTCTATAAACTTTGCGGCAACATCAGAAATATTTAGTGAAGCTTTAGTGAACTCCAGTTATCAGAGTGTTTCCCAAGAGCAACTTGAGTTTCATTACTCTTGGAATCAAACATCTTGCGCTCTTTTTTTAACTTGATCTTGGGCTTTTCTTCATTTTTCCCCAACTATGCTGGGACTTAAACACTTGCTTGCCTCCATTGCTTTGGCTTTTTTACCAATTGTATGCATACACAGTGACGTAACCCCAGTCACATGGTGTTGTTATGGGAAATATACATGGAGAGGCTACATTTTCTAACAAACTGAGCAAATATAAAGTTTTAAGGTGCATTCCGACCAAACATGGAGTGTGTGCCGCAAGGGCCGTGGATTTACATGGCATACCTATGTAAGCCTCACAGGAAAGGGCAGCATAGTTGCCAGCATGAATCCCACATCAGTGCTTGGCTCTCACATCATGCTACAAGGTAGAAATCAGGTGTTGTCAAACAGTGGCCCTGCATGGAGAGAGTAGAGCAGTGACTGCTGAAGTTGAAATCTGAACTTTTCTGTGAAATTGCATCACGGCAACTACTCAGGGACTGGTTGTAATTGTGATGTAGGTTAAAGAAGTGCAGCTGACACAAAGCTTTTTGCAGTAAAAATGCAATATAGAGAAAATTATTTTGAAAAAATGAAATAAGGAATGCTCTGTAGAGGCTTTTAGGTAGCTTTATTTTATTTTTTTCATTTAGCCCTAGAAGCCCTAGAAGGGCTGTTCGTCATGCTCCTTTACCTCCATCTCAGACTGTTACTGCCACTCCCAAGCACTGCTGCTTTCTGAGCGGGTAGATCTACCCATGTTCCCAAGGTGGTTTTGGTAATCAAATAGAACTACCACAGAATTCGAACAATATCTAGTTGCAGCTCTGGATGAACCAAAGTGATCTGCTTATTCAGGGCCTCTGGGGCTTTTCCAGAAATTGATGGTCTTTCCAAACCGAGTCAAAAATGTGAGAACAATTTAGCAGCAGTAATGTTAAAATTCACCTGTGATTTTATTCTGAAATGCTGCCATTGAGCTCTTGACATATCATATTATGCAATAACTTTAAATTTGGAAACAAGCACAGCACTACTATTAGTCGGATGGTGAAGTCATCAACTCAAACAAAAATCATTATAAAACCAAATAAGCACAAAAAACTGTTTGACCTGCAGGATTGAGTAGCACTAAATGAGCACATAATTCTCATTCAATTTGGAGCTTGAAGGGAGGATGTCTGAGATCTGGATGACCTAAGAGATAATCTTTAATATCTCTTAAACAAAAGTTGCACACGTGATCTTTTTTTGCTATTTATCTACCTTTTGATTTCTACAAGGATCATTTTAAGTGCACACGTGCACTAACGGAGCACTAATCATATATGATGATATGCACTATGCTTACTTTTTTTCATATAGGTGGAGTGTTGGCTTTACATAGCCGGTGCTCCTCCTATCGCGTGGCCCCGGATGAAAACACTGCAAAGCGGTGAACTCCTGGTTGTGCTCGGAGAAACTGCCGCACAGAATGCACCTTTAGAGAGAATAACAATTACAACACCAGCAGGGCATCATATAGTGTCTGTTGTCGGAAAATTTTTATCTCTCTATTATATATTAATTGATCCTATTTACTAACTATAAAAGTTTTCACTCAGTCTGTTTCACTTTCAAGGCCAGACAATTCTATGCAGGATGGTGTTTGTAGACCAGACATAGCTTCTTCCCATAACAAACCAGATTCTTTTTCAAGGTTTATTCATTATTAATTCTTGTTACTGTTTAACCAAAGTGTCTGTAATTTGTTTTGACTCTGACTACTTTCCATTGTTGTAAGGGGGGACGAACCCTGCCCAGATCAGAACAGAGCAGAATGCTGAGCCATAATGGCTGTATGATGAACTGTTCTCTCTTTGCAAAGATATTAATAAATGTGCCGATTGAGTGAAATCCCTCTATCTCCATTTATTTAACTAGGATGAACAGTTGAATACTTTTTTTCCAAAAACAGAGTCATAAAAATGTTGTATGCAACCATAGTGAGTTACTGGCATATACATTTGAGTAAAGTTAAATAATGTGCATAAGCAATGGTAAAGTACTGAATTAGGCACAGACAACATGAACTGTAAATGATAACAATACATTTTATTAGACTGATGTAAAAGTAGTGTTCTTGTCCCTGAATTATTTTCTGATATCTTTCTGCAATTGTCCACAGAAATCTTTCCTGCATCTTCAAAAATCCTAAACTTGGATCAGGACGGATGGAGGCAGAAGTCTGCAATTCTGGCATATCTATGGATTCAGGTAACCCTTTGCTAAGAGCTGTTTTCCTCAGAAGGCTGAGGCTCACAAGACTGCTCTTAGAGGGCGGGGCTTACATCAACGAGAGTGACAGCCAAGGACAGACCCCCCTAATGGTGGCATGTAGGACTAAGCATACTGACGCCCAGAGTGCCAGTCGGACTAAGCTGATCCAGTTTCTTCTGGAGAGAGGGGCAGATCCTAACATTCAGGATAAGGACGGACGCTCTGCGCTGATGCACGCCTGCCGGGAGCAGGCCGGCCCTGAGGTGGTATCTCTGCTTCTTTCCGGTGGGGCAGACATCAGCTTAGAGGACCAGTCTGGGACATCAGCGCTGGTTTATGCAGTCATGGCTGAAGACTTGAAGGTGCTCAAACTTCTGCTCGACACATGCAAGGCAAAGGGGAAGGAGGTGATCATTATTACCACAGATACATTTCCGAATGGAAACCTGTCAGCTAAGCAGTGCCTCAGCATGCCTGCTGCTGATGCTGTTGAAGAGATGGATCCAATTACAGAAGCAGCTCCAGCGTCTCCCTCTGAGATCCAACTAATCACCTCCCCTCAGAGCACTTCATCATCTCTGTGTCCCCCAAAGCAAGTGTTTTCTTTTAAAGAAGGGCAAATCTGTGGTGCAAACTCTCATCCATGCTCGCCCTCACGGTTTCGAGGACCCGGACAAGCGGTGCCCAGTGGACTACAGCAACCTCTACAGAGACTGAACTCTGAGCCCTGGTTAAAGATCCCCGAATCTCTGCTCACTGATCAGCGCCAGGCATCTTCTAACCAGGCTGAAGATGTTTCTTTTAGAGTTCCCAACCTGGAGAAGGGCAGCAGCAATAACCCCAAAAACTTCAGTTATTATGAAAGAAGGTTAGCAAAGGATAGAAGCATAGACTATGGCAAGAGTGGCTATAATGAGCACGAAGGGCACATGATGTCTTTATCAGGTCTGTTCTCATCCCACTTTGCCTCTCATCCCAACCTGCACTCTGAAATTCACGGTTCAGACCCAGCCGCATGCTCTTCAACCCTCTGTAGTAGCAGCAACCTTGGTGCAACCTTTCATAGCATGGCCTCATCGAGCCTTAATAATGTCATCCAGACGAAGAAGCTTAGTGCAGACATCTATGGCTCTGACCCACAGCTAGCTGTGGATAATAGACATATTTTAGAAGAACACAGAGAAAGGGCCTCATTAGACGGCAAGAAACTGGCCCCACTGCGTTGCTCAACCACAATGGGCTCCAGAGAATCTCTAAAAGGCATCAACAAAAGAGTTTTCTCTCTGTATGAGCGCAGAGGCTCTGGGACGTTCCTGCTGGACCACAGCAATCAGGCCAGGCCTAGATCTCTGCCACCACTAACCAAAAACCCCACCTTTAATCTTTCCAATAACAGTTCAAGCAATGGGAGCAGCTTCTCTGAAAAAGAGCTGGGTGAGAAAGGTTTCCTTCCCTGCGCTCCCCCAGGACACCCCAAGGAACCGACGAGAAGAATACTGATGAGGAGACATTCGATGCAGACCGAACAGTTCAAAAGCACGGCCTGAAAATGACTGACGGCGAAAGAGGATGTTCACTGTGTTCAATGTAACTTCTGTTGTTACAGGACTTAGTGTCTGCTTTATGGAAAATCATAAAAATAGAAACGCACACTTGATTTTTAAAAGGTGGCATACAGTGCTGTAAAGAAAAGCGTCACCCCATACATTTTTTTTTCTTTTTATTGCTTCTCTGTTCAACATAAATGTTTCCGATATATACACAAACTTCAATATCAGATAAAGATATGTATAACAAATATGATAGGATTTCCAAATAACTATTGACTTGGTGATCACTGTGGCAGAATGTCTGCTCATTGGTTCTAAATCTTCATCTCAAGCTTTTGTGTGATTTGGAGCAAGTGATTGTAAAACCTCCATTACTGATAAACGTTTGTCTGTACTTCAGCTTCAAACCGCCATATTTAGTTTTTGGCTGTCGGTTTTAGTGATGACATTCTGATGTAACCTTAAATGCAGAAATTGTTTGAATAAATGTTGAGTAGTCAACTCTGTTTCTATCATACTTTAAATGACATCGAATTTTATCTCTTTTCTATTGGTATTTTTTGTTATAAGATTTAGTTATTTAATTTTTTCTTTGCATATGGTTTAAAAAGATTAATAAGCGAAACAAAACAGTGTGTGCTTGTCAAGTTCTGGACCAAAAATGTGATCAAGATGCTGGAGCGGAGGTCCCAATGTGGCCACTGTTTTTGGATAAAACCATCCTGAGTTGGGCTCTCAGCCTTTGGAGCTTTTTCTCGCCATATTAGTTTCATCAGGTCTGGTCCTGTGTGTGGATATAACACAATCCTGGAGGGAAATATCAGTTGGACAGCTGCCATCAACACCTGCAGTTATAGATAATACAGTCAGGCTTATTTTTCAGGGCTTAGTGCAGTATAACATTTGCTCTTCAATTATAGAATACCCTATTTATAGCAACAATTAGGACAAAACTGTGAATATAAATAAAATTTGTACAACCTGTCCTTATAGCTGCCTATATAGTTAGCTAGATAGATTTGTGTAAATGTTTTTCCTATTTGCAATTCATTTGAAATGCACAAAATGTTTTTTTTCCCTATACATTCCAAATGTTTATTTAGAAATATTTACTAAAATTATGTCTCTTCAGATTAGTTAAAAAAAATAATAGACAGCTTAATCTGTTGTCAGAATAATCAATAGGTGCGGCTTTATCTTAAAGGTATAAAGGACGATTTTTCATTTCCGGGTGGATCATCTAAATAAGTGGTCCTCCTAACTGTCAATCATTCTGGTGACATGTTTACGTAAGGCCAACCTAGGTGCTCGCCCCGTTATCTATCTTTTACTGTGCATGTGCACATTCAGGCATATATCTATGGTGAGCTACGGTTTCAGACAGTCATTGAAGCTCTCCTTTCTCACCGCGGTTCTTTAAAAATGGCCGAGGGTCGTAAGAGAAAAAGTGTCTACGAAATTTATGAGAAGAAAAGAAAGGCCTCAGAAGAGGCGATATATCCCCGAATGCTTTGCGCTGAGCTCTCCTCGCAACGCATTTTGGGATTTGCTGTCACAGTGGCCCGCTGTCGCGATAGGCTGTCATTACCTGACAGCGTTGACTAATAAAGATGGCGAAGACACCGCGCAGTGGAGGAGTTTCATAACCAATGGGGAGGGGAAAAAAGCAGTGATCATCTTCCGAACGGTCAGTTAAGCGAGTTCACTTAAAGTCAACTATATAGTCCCCGCTCTATATAGCGATTGAGGGATTTAGGGGGTAGGGTGGATGTTCAGGCACAGTAAGCTTTGATGAGCTATGAGAACAGAGGAGGAGAAATGGGCTCATGCACGCTCTCGCACGTGCATCTTTTTAAAAGTGGAGAGGGGGGGAATTTCACGAAAATCCTCCACAACACCCTCAGGCCTTTATAACAAATGTATGATCAATGCATGCATTTTTTTTTTTTTTAGCTAGACTTTGATGTCCACCAGAGTTTAGTGAAAGAACGCTGCTATTCTGCCATTTCCAGACACTGGTTGGTGAGTTAGATGCTGTCATGCAAAATGCTTTATTACATTTTTCAGATCAGGTACAAAATCCAAACGCTCAATAGCTTCTGCTTAATGAATGCTTTACAGACACCTGGTACTTATTTCAAGACTGTATTTAATGATTTCCTTCAAATGTTATCACTTACAAAACAATTCATGACGTTGTGTCAAGGATTAGAAAAGGCGTAGCAGTTATGTCTCTACAACAAGAGGTTAGCAGGAGGCACCAATTTACATCGCATTGTAATACTAATGTTATAAAATGTGTGAATGCTGCTGTAGAAAAAAAATCTTCACATTAAAGTTTCAAACACAAATAAATACATGTGAAATTCTGCTGCTAACTGTGAGTGTTTAAAATGTGTTTCTTAGTTTAAAAAGTGTTCAATACAATGCTTTATAGAAATAAAAACAATAATAATTGGAGGAAAAAAGAGGAAAAAATAGATCAGTGTTTGACATTTACTGTTATGCTAAACAAGGAACCCTTAAAAACCAAAACCCGTTTCCACATATTTACAGTCATTGTACAGTAAAATGATAAAACTAAAGAAAGTAATGAGCTAAGATGAATCCGTTGCAGCAAAATCCACCCAAACTATGCATTACATAGCATTTGTTTGTTCACTCCAGATAAAAGCTGCAAAATCTTTAATAAGACAATAAATATGTGTGATAATAATCACTCACGGTATGAACAACGACAAAATACAAGAAAAAGAAAGGGTTTCTGCGGTGCTAAAACACAACAATGCGGTTCCAACTTTTAGTTGTTCATCATAGATTTCTCGAAGCTTTGTTCTTTGCAGCAGGCTGCCCTGCCACGAGTGTCCATCCGGATTTCAGGAGTTCTTTCTGTTCGCTGATGTACAGGATTATCGGTCCAGATGTTCAGCCACTGCGGTCGTAATCACTGACCATCTTCTTGATGTGGTTCAGTTTGTGCTTCAGATATTTACACCGCCGCTTCCTCACTTGATAATCTGCAGTCTAAAGAAAAGGAAATAATATGAGCCGAGAGCAACAGAGAAAGAGGACAACCGAAACACACAAACATTCCCAACAGGTCACCATAACATATTAGAGGCCTTGCTAGACCTAATACACAGTTCCATTTAGAACAGGAGTCTGCAACCTGCGGCTCCAGAGTCACATGTGGCTTTTTGCACCATCTACAGCAGCTCTTAATAGTGACTAAAATGTATATGAAGAACTAAATAATATACTACAAAATAAATACCATTCTTAAATGTTTATATATATCTTAAATATATTTATATGTGGTTTTTATAAGATGGAGAAGAAGGACATTAAAGGAATCAGAAATATGTTCTTTGAGCCATTTTCCTTTTAATTAGCTTGAAATTTATGTGTTTTAATATTATTTTAAAAGCTAAAAATACATGCATTGTTGGTTGTTTAAGATGGCAACTAATTTCCTATAAAAAAAATAGTCTTTCTAAAAATTCATCTACTTTGCGGCTCTAAACATCTTTTACTTGGTTGGAATCAGGGCAAAATGGCTCTATGGACATGAAAGGTTGCAGACCCCTGATTTAGAAGAACAGCAGTGTATGTTATGATATATTCTAATAATTTCAAGTTATCCAATAAATGAGGCATCCCCAAAGTCGTTCTGGAGGGCCGCCGTCCTGCAGGTTTTAGAGCAGGGGTCACCAACGCGGTGCCCGTGGGCACCAAGGTGCCCTCAAGGACCACATGGGGGGCCCTCAGAGTCTTCTAAATGCAGAACAACCCACCAGTGGGCTAAGTTTGAAATTTTATTTTATTCTGTTGCTCTTCTTTTTAATCATTTATAGAGATTTCAAAATGACAATGTCTAAATAAACTTAGAAATTAACAGAAACAATAAAAATATGTTGATAATGAACAAAGTTTAGGCTAACGCTAACCCTTGCAGCTCATGGGTCAGTAATGGTCGCCGTTCATAAGTCTCGGTACCCTTGAAGTGGCCCTCAGCCTTAAAAAGGTTGGTGACCTCTGTTTTAGAGGTTTCCCTGCTGCAGCACAGCTGATTTTCATTGATAGTTGATTAACAGGCTTTTGCTGAGCTGCAATCATCATAATCAGCTGTGCTAAAGCAGAAACCTCTAAAACCTGCAGGACAGCGGCCCTAGAGGACCCACTTTGGGGATGCCGGCAATAAATTTTTCAACTATTTTATATGTTTTATCAATTTTGATGTATAGAATAATTAAATGTCCCATTAAATAAAAAAAAAAAGTTTTAAAAATGTATTATATAATTACATTTTATTTAAAAATGCATTTATTCATTCAAAACATGATTTAAAAGCTCAATTAAACTAATAAATGCCCCTTTAAATAGTGAGAAATACATTTAAATTTAGAAATAATTAAACATTATTTAAAATAACCTTTAATACATGGGGCCAAAGAACAAAAACCTGAAGAAAAGCTAATAGTTCTTTGTTTGGTTAAGAGAGACGTAAAGCCAAAGAGCCATTTCAAGCTCTGATCTCCGATATAGGGGAGGAAAATTTTGGCCCTGCATTAATACAAATTTAAAATCATTTTTTAAATAAAACCAGAAATGTAGAAAATAAAATTTGTTTCTGATCACGTCATAGAAACTAGTCAGTTATCGGTTCTGTGGCAGAGCATTTCACCACAAGAGATGTATTTAGCTTCAGTACAGGGGCCATAGAAGGAAACATGACAATTTCTACAGGGGTAGTGGCCCCCGTTGGCCCCCTGTCTGGAATCACCCAAGTCTCCATTGCAAATAATTAGTGCATTGTGCTTAAAAAGAAAGAAAAAAAAAAACATTGATCAAAACAAGAGCATAGTTCACTTTACTGGTCAAAAATAAATAAATCAGGTTTTTCTTTAACCCTCAGGAGGTTTTGCCTGCCATAAAAAAAAACATTTTAATGGCAGACGGCAGTCATTTTGCGGCAGGAAGAGGCTGAAAATTTGAAGGCACCACATGTGTCCCGCAGACAAGAAGACACCCACTGAGTAAAACTGGTTGAGAAGATATTGTGAAGATGACATGATTTACATCCAAACATCTATATTCGGTTGAAAAGGAAAAAGTGAAAAACTGTAATTTTCAGATCGCTGAAAAGACATTAAAATCTGGGTTTGTAACGTCTTCTGGACTAAAGTGGGACAAAATCAGACTGACCAAACACAGCCTAGTTTTTGACAGTGATTTTTGGCCTAAATCAAGACTATGACGCTTATTTAACCTAAAAACCGACGTCTAAATAACATCTGGTGTTTCGGGGGCATGACAGTAAGCAGGGTAAATATCTGACTGGATGGAAGGAAATCTGCAGAAGTTTATACACAGCTCAGCTAAAAATGAACTCAAATTATTTTAAAATGAAACCCAAACTGGAAAATCGGGGACAAAAACTACCATTTGCATTAATGAAAGAATAACAAACGGCAGAAAAGCAGCTTCAGCGCATCAAAGAAAACATCCATAGTGCAAAGCAAAGAGAAAAATAAAAAAACAAAATAAAGAGCTTAAGTGGCTCCTGACTGGATTGAAGAGAAAAGGGTCAGAAGATCCAGGAACTGAACCGATCCATGAAGAATGGTGGCATCATGATATGGGACGTTCGTTTCTGTTGTTGTTACAAATGTTTGATGAGAAAAGGCAATTATAATCAAATCAATAAATGGTGAGTTTTAATCTCCATCTAGAAATGAGATTTTAAAACATATTTTCAAATTAATATATTCAATAATTGACTGATAAACTCAATTTAAAATTCTTGTTAAATCATTTAATATATGCCCTGTCACAGACTGGCGACCTGACGGATAGGATGAAGAAGATGGATAATTTCAGGGCTGCCCCTTTGTCACCGGTTCTGTTTATTACATTTATGGACAGAATTTCTAGGCGCAGCTAGAGCCCGGAGGGTGTTCAGTTTGGGAACCTTAGGATATCATCTCTGCTGTTGCAGATGATGTTGTCCTGTTGGCCTCATAAAACCAGGACCTCCACCGTGCACTGGGGTGGTTTGCACCAGAGTGTGCACTGAGGCCATGGTTCTCCACCAGAGAAAGGTGGACTCCCCTCTTCAGGTCTTGTTCACGAGTGAGGGATGTATGGAGCTTGAGATCAATAGATGGATTGGTGCGGCATCGGCAGTGACGCGGACGCTGTATCGGAATGTCTTGGTTAAGATGGAGCTGAGTCGGGGGGCAAAGCTTTCGATTTACTTATCGATCTACGTTCCCACCCTATTGTCATGAGATCTAGGTAATGACTCAAAGGACAAAATTATGATACAAGCGTCCCAAATGAGTTTCCTTTGCAGGGTGTCTGGGCACAGCCTTCGAGATTGGGCGAGAAGCTCAGTTACCCAGGAGGAGCTCGGAGTAGAGTCGTTGCTCCTCCACGTCGAAAGGAGCCAGCTGAGGTTGCTGCGGCATCTGTTTCGGATGCCTCCTGGTCGCCTCCCTTGGGAGTTTATCTAGGCATTGGGAGGAAGCCTTATGGAAGGCCCAGGACACGCTGGAGGGACTGTGTCTCTGAGCTGGCCTGGTGTTGCCTCGGGGTCCCCCAGAGCAGCTGGAGGAGGTGTGAGTGGATCAGGAAGTCTGGGCATCTTTGCTTAGACTGCTGCCTCCGCCACCCGGCCCCGGATAAGCAGAAGAAAATGAATGGATGGATGGACAATTTCATTTAAGGACGGAAATTACAAAAAGGCTTTTAAATGGGATTTCTAAATGTATAATTTAAATGTTAAATGGTTGCATTTCTTTTTCCATGCCTCTCCTGGTCCTCCATACCTCTACACATCAGCCATACACTGGCTGACAGGATGCAAAGCAGTTCTCAGAAATCATTGTTATAAAGCTAATTATTAGCTCCATAATATGAAGGTAAGCTTAACTTATATACTTCAGGTAATATTGTGAAAATAGTAAAGCTTTGTAAAGAAAAACACTGACTGTGACTCTTTGAAATCAAGAGAGGAAAAATTAATCTCAGGCTCTTCAAACAGACCGTATCTCCAATGCATTCGTACGTGTGTGTAAAGAAAAGCTATTAAAATTGTTTTGTGGTTCTTTTAAAGATGCTGGTGACTATTTCAACAAAACTTTGAAAGTAATTTGCTGTGGAATTTTAGACTTTACATATATTCTTTCAGAGTTAGTGGCAGTTTGTGCAGGAAAAAACTAAAACTAAAAAGACCCCAGAATGTCGTCCATATCAAGCTGCGTTGAATAGAAATTAAATTCTAAGGAAGCATCCATCCTCTGGTGTCCATGCTATCCTAATGAGCTGTTTATAATAGCCTTAATGATGACTCCTACCTTTTTAAGGGCCCTTATCTTGTTGTACTCATCCAGGACATCCTGTTAAGAAGCAAAGACACATTTCAAGATTTAATTAGTTTGCTAAAAATGTCTAATATTCTTTCATCTTCAAGATTAGACTAGATTATATAGAATCATGGAAGCAGCTGAAAGGCATGGTGTATATAAGCAGTATGTTCTGCTTATGTCTGCAGCACTGCAAAAAACTATCTAGAAAAAAGTAAAAACTCCTTAAATTAGGTGCATTTACCCTCAATTTGAGCAGGTAAATAAACTTATTTGCCGACGGAATTAATATTTTTAATCTTAAAATAAGATAATTAAATAACATGCACTTGATATAAGACAATGCAATTGTTTTGTTTTTTTACTTATTTTAATTGTAAATTGTCGTGTCTCACTTGTCTCCTCAGTTCAAGAAAAAAATGCACTTATTTGAAGAAAAATGGCTTATTGAGATAAAAAAAAATTTGCAGTGAGAGAATCTGAGGAAAATATTTAGGTTTCGTTTTATTTCATCTTTTATATTTCTGCTCATTTTAAGACAATATAAATAAATACCCATGAACAAAATCACATAAGTTATGTTAAAATTTATCGAAGTAAATGCTTCATAAACTAGGGTTTTAGTTTAGTTTAAAAATTAGCAATCATTACACCTTAAATCTAAAATTAAAACATACAATACTATTATAAATTTATAATAGTAAATTACAAACTAATCAAATAAATATAGAGCATAAAAAAGTGTTAAACTGTTAAAGAAGTAGGATTTTTAGCCCAGTGTAAAGTCTTCAGTGCTGAATGCTCCTGTGAGGGAAAAATAGTGAATGAAATAGTGATTTGTTCTCACCAGGTACTGTGGGCTTCCCTCCTGCAGCTCGTCCAGCTCTCTGTCCAGATTGGACAGGTCCTTGTTGATGGTGTCCAGCTCCGCCTGCAGTTCTTTGTACTCCAGGTGGTCGCGGTCAAATTCACGCTTGTAGTTGTTGCGCTGCTGCTCACTTGTTATTGGGGGATACTCACTGAAAACAACAAGGTGACCATCAGATCAACTGCTGATCAACTTGGTTTGCTGTTGTTGGTTTTCCCAGTACCTGTCAAAGTCGTTGTCGTCCAGCTCGTCCCCAGAGGAGTTGTAGTCCGTTTCGTAGTCCTGTCCGTCGGCGCGGCGCGGCCGTCCTGGGCGCCTCTTTTTGGGCCGTCCTGAGGAGCTAGCAAGCTCCGAGCTGCTGCCAGAAGGAGCGCCATTCTGCAAAGGTTGATTCTCAACCACAGGTCTGCGAGACGGAGGATTTAGAAACAGTTCATCTTTATTTCCAGCATATTTTAACACATACAAGAATAACCAAAGAAAAAATTACTTATTTAGTTTCCAGTTTTACACAAGTTTGTCTAAACCAGTAGAAAACCTCGGCCAGAGAATGTCACCTTCCTTCATCAGCACAGAAGCATCTCACATAGTTTCACCGTCAAAAGAAAGTATGACTCATGTCTCCTTAGTTTTGGTCACAAATCTATTTTCATAGTTCCTCTTGCAATATTTATTCTTTGACACAACTGTCAAGCATCAACTCCACACACACACCCATACTCATTCTGCTATATGTAGTGAGGACCATGTGTTGACTTTTAGTCATTTTCAACCCTTTCTATGTCCTAACCCTAAAACTAACCCTAAACCTAACCATTACCAATGCATACCTCACCCTAACCCAATTCATATCTTAGCATTAAACCTAACTGTTAGCAAAATAGCTTGTGAGAACCAGCAAAATGTCCTCATTTTGCAACAACTGGTCCAGAGTCCGATGCTGAAACTGGAAAAATGGTCCTCACTCTTGGCTACACAGGTACATCCACACTCACACACACAGAGTTTGTATTTCTCTCTTTCCGCATGGAGGCTCTACATCGACTTTCATTCGTTTTAGTTAGCGCATTTAAGCCTAATCCTTATCAGTGCATTCCTAACCCTAACTTTAACCTAAAGGTAGTTCACACCATAACCCTAAACTGACTCTCTAGGGCAGAAAAAAAAGGGGATCTACGGCATTAGAAACAGCCTTTGGTCCCCATAAGGCCTGTTGGTCCTCAGGTCAGCAAATATATTAAAAAGGTCCTAAATAGGTCACATATACAAGTACACACACACACACACACACAGACGCTCTGTGATGCGATACGTTCACATTATACCAGAAATGCATGAAACAAAAGTTTTAGAGACCGGATTTTATGAAGTAACCGTATAATATATTAAAAGTATTCATATAAATGCACATAAAGACATTCTTTTCTTTTCTAAATGGGGCTAAATAGAAATTAGTGTGAGTAAACTCACTGTGGGGTGTAGTTCAAAGGAGGCTTGTCATAGTTGCTCTCATCATCCAGGTAACTCCTGGAGCCTCTCAGCCTCTCAGGATAGTCTGCAATGGGAGCTTCTTCAGGGGGAACGGACACATTGTTCACCTTTATGAAAGATTAAAACAACAAATATTAAGGTTTTAACAATAAATGAAAGTTTGGAAGTTTACAACTTTATTTTAATGCTTTTAACCAAACAAGTTTAATTATTTTGAATAAAACAATAACTAAGAAAAGCTTGTCAAATGATCCAATAACTGTTTCTCAAGAATCGGGCCACAATTTCTTTCAACAACCAGTCCTGCAGTACCTCCACAAACCCACTAGGGGGATTTATACTATTTAAATACAACTATGTTGCATTTAATTTAGATTTATTTCATTTGCATCTTCATTACATTTATTTATCCATATATTTAATTAATAAACACCAACATTTGGATAAGTCTCCTGGTTATTAGATTTCTATTGAGAATTCCCTGATAAAGCTAAGCTACAAATATCAATCATAGGTCTAATGTCACTAACTCGGTCAGCTCCACCATATAAGAGCCATAATGCCACAAATAATGGATTAACAATCAGTTTACAAGTTGTTTTATTTTTTTAACTATCACAATGATGTTCACACTGAATGAGATTGTATTGAGCGCTGCCTCTCCTTGTCTTTCTGTCATGTGACCTTTCCTGGAAGCTGTTTAGAAAACACCTGAAACAGTCCTTCATTGTTATGGCATTGAAAGCAAAGCAGTAGCTGTTGGGAGTGTCGTCCAAGTATCATACACTGGAGAAGCCATGAGGTTTGTTATAAAACGAACAAGTCAAATCTAAACCCAAATCTGCCGTTATGTAAGCAAAGCTATTCAGGAAGCTGAATTTAAAACAACATTAGCCAGAGCAACACTGTGGCTTCTCTTAAATTATAGCTTAATTAGGCAAGAAAATTATATATGTATGTTTAAACAAAAAATAATCATAAACCTTCACTCAAAACAAACACAAAAGGCCAAAGTGCTGCATTGATACAAGTGCAGCTATAGACCAACAGAGCCAATAAGATTCTACATTAAAAAAATTGAAACAGACAAAATTTAATACCAACTTAATCAGAATCCCATTATTGTCAAATAGAATATTAAAAAAAACATACATTTAAATAAAAAAAGGGATATTGTGTTTATAATACAGAGTCCTAAAGGCCAATTTAAAAAAACAAACAAAAAAGGTTGGGAAAAATGATGACGGTAGATGGCTGATTATTCTAGTGTTTAGGACAAGCAGGACTCAAGAAAAAAGTTGTTAGAATACCTAAAAGTATCAAGTCAAGGGAAACAAAGGAGCCATTTTCCTAAATTAAGCCAATTCTTGACAAACTCAGCAAATATTAGCTACATTTTCAGATGGTGAACACCTTAGATGTTGATTTGGGATCAAAGAAAGCCTAATATATCATTTTTCTCATCTCAATCTTTGCCCATCTCTGCCATCATTGTCAGAGCTTGATTAATCTGCTTTGACCGACAATGAATCATGGGATACTCTGGATATAGCCTTCAAACATTTGAACATTTCTTTATCGACAGTTTTGTTGTTTTTCTTAAGACCTAAGACCAGATGTCGTCCTACATTTTACTCCATACGATCTGAGCTCAGGCTAGAACGAGGTGCTATAGGGCTTAGAGGGGGAAGGACATTTAAAGACCTAGAAAGGAATAAAATGGATCCTAAGATGGAGGTGCAGCCAATAAATTTAACTAAATCAGCCTAAACTTGGGTGTTTTGGTTATTAGACCTCCAGCAAGCAAATATCTGATTAAAGACCTGCTAACACCCAAATGAATGTTGCAGAAATCCAGAGACTACCATCTCCAAATGCTCTCTTTAGGTGATATCTAACCCAAAACATTACAGCCTCTTCCTTAGCCCAAGTTACCGTTTTTGATCACTTGCATACCCCTCGTCCGTCAGTGAGATCTAGAAGCACAAGATCTATGTCCAGCCATTCAGCAAAGATGCTGCTACATGGCTGTACATCTTATTTTGGCATTTGACCAATTAGATGAGCCCTTGAATCATACATTAACTACTGGAAATTATGTTGAAAAAAAAGTTAACAAGTCAAGAAAAAAAAATGGTAAAACACTAATTGAAAAGTTAAAAAGTAAAGTTAAAAAGTAAATAAGCCTAGTTAACAATTATATTTAGGTTTATGAACTAAAACATGTAAGTGCCAGTATCAGCATTAATCCCTCTAAGGTTATGTTGTACCAAAAAAATGAGTTTCTTTTACTCTCAGAATGTTTTTTATAGAAGCACTTTTGTTATTTTTCTTAGTATATTCAGGCAAGTTGGCGTTTCTTGTCTTTACATTAACATTAATTTTTGCCATCAAAATATGCATATTTTTTGAATGTTAAAAGGGTAATAAGGTCTTATCCTGGATTCCATTAACACTATTGGCATGAAAATTTGGTTTTCAAAGTATTTCACAGAGTGCCCTATAAAGGGTTAGTCTCTAGTTGAAGCTGTTTATGTCTCTTGAGACAAGAAATGAGGCTGGGAAAAATGTTTTCACCTTTAAGGAAAAACAAAGATCTGTATCATTGTGGATGCTGCAGGCTGGGTAATCTAATTTATGTAAATAAAAAAAGGATATAAGAAGATCGTTGTAGATATCAGGTTCATTGTTCTAAATTTACTTTCAGGAACGACCACTTTAACGCATGTCTGCTCCAGTAGATCCACTGAATCTCTGACATTTCTGGTATGACACACCCGCACAGACTTGTCGTCTGTGTGCCACAGCTGGGATACACCCTGCAAAAACAACAGCTAACAAGCAAGGTCTGCAAAAGGCCCTGCACATGCACTTTCCGACAGGTTCCCACAAGCAGCTGTGAGGAAAAAGTCTCGGGTTCTTGGTAAAGTTTTGGTCCTGTTGGAGGATCTGCTGAGCCGTGTGGATCAGAGCAGCGGTCGGACCTGCTTTTCCTGTTTACTGCTCTATAAATGGAGCTGAATGTCATCATGACTCCAAGCACAACTGACTCACACTCACTGCTGCTCCACTCTATAATGTTGTGAAACATATTTAAAAAAAAAGAAAGAAAAATCTAATCATAAATCATGAGTCAGCAGCAAATAGAAACATTTCAGAAAACCTCCACAGTAGTATGTTTAGAATGTGGCCTCCTCTCGTTTGCCTGGCCGCCTGTGAGAGTGAAACTGTTATCAGTCAGCATGCCGCACCTTGAAACTGTAGATGGAAGGAGTTTAAGCCCCGCCTCCTCTCATCCCTGAACACAACACTGTCCCTAAACTGGTTTTACCACATTGTCTCCACTTCCTTTACTGCTGAGGAGCGACAGATGGTGGATTCTTTCTAGAAAGAGCCACTTGAAGCTGAGCTTCTGATAACGTTTAGGCATCGAAAAGGTCCCAAAGTTAGCAAGGCAGAAAAAGGAAGCAGCAGTTTGAATGACTCCATTCAGCCACATATATAACTTCATTATTCAACGACCATTAGATGAAGTTAAATCTGGCCAGTTTAACCTGAAAAAGTATCTGAGGTAAAAATAACCCATCAAACTCCTGCAGTTATCAGTTTTAATCATAAAATGCCCCCCACAACCATTTCCTTATCCGTTTTACTTCAGCTCTGGAACCAAAATAAAGAAAAGAAAAGAGGATTTAAAGTAACAGCCATTCAAAATGGCCCTTCCCAGTCAAACGCCAGCTGAATAGCAGCTGAATAGCAGCCCACTTCCCTGAAACTCCCAGCAAAATCCCCTCCAGCTACTAGAGTGAGCCCGTCTTGCATATTTCTTTACTCTGACTCCACCCTTTCACAGACTTACAGAGTCTGGCCAGGAGATGAAGCATTTTCTTTAAATCTTAATGTCAACAAATTATAACAGAAATAATATTTTAGTACAAAGATTGATGCTTAAAAAGGAATTGTAGGGGACCGGCCAAGGGCCCATCAAGGAAAGTGGGGAAATTTAGAATGGCTACTACTGTAAGTTTATTTGTGCTTGGAAAACAGAAAAGGATCATTGCATTGTTTGTACATCTATCACTGTTTGTACTGAATTTTGCTTTTGGGATTAGTAAAGTTATTTTGAATTGAATTCATCCTTCCCAACATGATGACTCGGCACAAAAAAAAAGAAGAAACAGGAATTTGTTTTTGTGCATTATATGAGATTCACATTTCCCTTCTCTGGTTTCTCCAGTTATTTTTTCCTTTAAATTGCTGTTTCAGGTTTCTGTTAAAGTGGTACATTTTAATAGTTGGAGACAAAAATTTGTTTCAGTTCATCATTTTTTTTATTTATTCAGGGAAGTTAACATTATGTAACTACCCTGCTTGATAAACAGTGCATCAGCTGAATAACCTACAGTGTTTTTGGTTTAACTTCTCTAGCCACGCCCACGTCTGATTATTGCCAAACCCGTTTTATAGCTTTGTTAAACAGAACATTAAACAGATTGACATTTAAAATGAAAAAAAGTGATACATTTTGTTCTGATCCAAAGACATTCAACTTCAGACAAGGGACCATGATGTCAGAGGGGTAAAAAGCTGCAGCATTTCTAAGGCTCCCAGTGAGTCATTATTTATAAATGGGCAAAATATGACCCTTGCAGTAGTAGCTGACCTGACACAATTACGCCAAGAGCACAATGGCAACTTGTCCAATAAAAGAAGCTGGAAAACACAAAAGGAGCTAATTTTCTTCACAAAAAGTCAACTTTTACTTCTAAGTCATAGGAGTACTTTTCCCCCCATGGTGAAAAACCACTGCTGAACAAAAAGAACACAAAGGTCCAACATTTATAGACGTTAAGATGATCCGTTTATTGTGTTCAAAGGGGAAAATACTTTCTCCACATACAGCAATATGTGGTGGAAATACGCTTATTCCATCCAGATAAAAAAATTATAATTTAATAACCAAACCTGGACATTACTTTAACCCAGGATTTTTGGTTAAGTGTCAAAGTTTGTTTTACTATCTGAAAAGTTTAAATGTGGCAAAAATATATATTTTAAAAATATTAATTAGAAAATAGTCAAAGCTTTTTTTTCATAGCATTGATTCTTAGACGGCTTTTGCTGTGTTTTGTTTATTTTTGGTTGTGTTCATTGGCAGAAGAAGAATTTAAAGGAACATTAATGTCTGTCTCTGGTGCTGAGCTGTTATGGAGGTCTTGTGATGACAACAAAAGAAATGTTCCTCTTTTCTGCGCTCTGAGCAAAAACAAACCTGTTTTCCATTTCCCCAACAGATATGCTAAATGGGCATTTTTTTCCCCCCAAGCGCTGTAGCTGATGTCTTAATTCATGGATTAGAAAAAAATTTTAAAAAGTATAAATAACAGTGTCTGCTCCTTAGAGCAGGGGATCTCATTTTGAAATAAATTTAATTTTTTCCAAGTTAGATTTATTCATTTAACTCATAATTTCAAATGTATTTTTAATTATTTAATGATGCATTTTTACATTTTAATGTTAAATCTAGTATTTGAATATTTAATAAGATAAATAAAACAATGTTTAATTTACTTATTATATGGAACATTTACATTTATCCATTTAATATATTAATTTAGGCTTAGGTCCCCCATATACATCACAGATCATGTCACAATAATATATTTTCAAATATTAATTAAATATAGCATTATATTGTAAAATGCACAATGTATTTTAGGGCAGGCCCCAGTTTGCTGCCTGGTTATTTTTGGGGGTCAAAGGTTGAAGTGTAGGGCTGTTCAGTGCGGCAGTGCTCAGCTCTGCTGCATTGCAGCAAGAAGGTTCTGTGTTCGATTCTCGGTCATGGCGTCATAAGAAGGGGCGGGGCCCCGAGCAGATCTGGTACCTATAACGGCCCAGTTTCTTTCTGCATGTTCTCTCAGTGCATGCGTGGGTTCTCTCCGGGTACTCAGGCTTCCTCCCACATTCCAAAAACGTGACTGTTAGGTTAATTGGCTTCTCTACAGTCCCCTTAGGTGTGAGTGTGTGCGTAAAAGGGTTGTTTGTCCTGTTTGTCTCTGTGTTGTCCTGCGATGGACTGGCGACCTGTCCAGGGTAGACCCCGCCTCTCGCCCGTAGACAGCTGGAGATAGGCACCAGCAACCCTCATGACCCCCGCTTGGGATAAGCGTAGGAAAATGGATTGATGGTTGAAATAATTGGGAACCCCCCGCCTGAAAGCTGTTTGATTTTAAAATGTGCAAAGTGAGGATTACTGCGATACTCACCCACGCCTCGACATCCTCCGGAGGTGAAAGCTCGTCCACAATCTTTACTCTCTTCCACAGGATGTTGCCTTTGCCGTACTTTTGGATCCTCTGCCGAGTCTTCAGGGCGAAGACGAGCATGATAATCAAAGCTGCAGTCACCAGGAAGCCAAACACCACAGCGATGGCCTGAAACAGAGGAAAGAGTTTAAAATGACTTCTCACGCACAGTCTCAGGATGGTACCAAGGACAGGATTGTTACCTCTTGCGGCTCCACCACGCAGTAGTGGTAAAGGTACTGGTTCATGAGTACTCCTTGCATTTGTTGTTGTTGGTACGGAGCACACAAAGCAGCGATCTGGTTGCCGTAAACCGACCCTGAGGCCTGGGCTGTTGGGTTCACCGCCACCAGGTACACGATGGTGGCAATAAGCATGAGCAGAGCCAGGATGGGACAGATGATCAACACTGCCAAGTAGAACTTCCTGCTCTGTGACAGGCTCTGATGAGACACGACGATGATGAAGACGATTATGGCGAAGATGAAGACGAAGGCTGCCATTGCAATCATGAAGCCTTTTCCTGACCGCGGGTCATTGTAGTTCCCCCCAATCGAGCCATATCCGTAGTTGCTTCCGGCTCCATAGGCGCTACCTCCGAAGCTGGAGCCGTATCCCCCTCCTCCATACATTCCTCCTCCTCCTCCTCCATACATGCCTCCGAAGCCAGACATGGCCCCCTGACTGTCATACGCCAGCGTGGAGGCAACGCAGGCGAAGATGGCCACACAGAGAACAATGACAATGATGGCCATAATTTTAAGGATTCCCGGAGGCGACGACCAGCGATAGAGGTGCTGGAACTCATCATCAGGGAAGTAAGAATAGGCTGGCTGAGGAACTCCATTGCTGCAAAGAGACACAAAAAACTTTTGATACAAATCCAATCACAAACTCCTTATTTTATTTAGCAACAGCTGCATGGAGGGAGTTTTGCTTATAGTTGTAGCAAACATAGAACATATTTGTAGATGGAAATTGGAAGGCACATAAACATTGTGAATTGAATTTTTTTTTAAATACCAACTTTTAAAAACGGTTTATAAAAAAAAAAGTTTGAGATTAACTTTGTTTTTTTCCAAATTTCCATTCATCTTTTCCCACTTAAACTGCGTCCCAGTGCGGTCTATGGGCGAAAGGCAGGGTACACTCTGAACAGTTATAAACTTTTTTTCTTACACAGGTGTTAATTTCATTTCATTTCAAATTTCTGTTTTTCAGATTAAGTTTTACTAATAGTATTTTTTTCAAATTGCGCTTCACAGAACATCTAGGCTGTGTCCGAACGTTCGCCCTAACCCCTATATGCCTCAATCACTATATAGAACAGGGAACAATATAGTGGACTCTATAGTGAACTCAGTTAACTGACCGTTGGGAGAGATGATAACTGCTTTTCAATCCCCGCTGGTCACATAACTCCACCTCTCCGCATGGTGCCTGCGCCATCTTTGTTTTTTTATCACCACTGTCACAACAAAGTCCATAATGCTTTGCGAGGACTGCTCTCGCAAAGCAATCTGGGATATGTCAGCTCGTCTACTAGTGACCATGGATAATTACTACTTTTCAAGGTGTATTGTGGAAAATTTCGCATGTTGTCCGATGACAGTGTCTAATTTAAATTGCACCGCTTCTCCTGTTAATATGGTAAAACCCTCCGGATCGTCCGGCACCAGGCTGCACATGATACAAATTAGCCAATGAGCTGCTGTCAGTCTGGGCTGCAAAATAAATAAGGATCCAGGCTCAAAATGAGCACCTTGATATGTCCTTTAGAATGGCTATGTCTCCATTCAAACCCAGGTTTAAAGCCTTGTAGGGCAGCCTAAAGCCCACTGCTATCATTAAAACATAAAAAATAAAAATAAAGAACAACAAATAGTCAGTTTAGGTGTTTTATAAAATATGTGAATCTGAAAGTTGTCTATATACCAAACTAAACGACTGTTGTTCTCTACTTCAAAAAACAGTATCAAAAGTAAGTGTTTGTAATGGGCTTAAGGAGTAGAGAATGTGTTCTATGAAAGACGATTTAAAAAGACTACAATTAGAAAACTTGACTAAAAAAGAAGAAACCTAAATTTAGAAAAATAAATCTATAAAAATGAATACAAAAAAATGCTTTTAAAAATTTAACATTGAAAAAAATGGTATGAAAATCAAATTTGAAAAAAAAAAGAATTTGAAATAAATCTAAGAAGTTAACAAACTTACTCTCAAAAACTTATTTTAAGTGTAATTTCTGGATTACATTCCCATTTCCATTGAAAAGCATGTTCTCTGCTTACTCAAACATCATTCACTCCATACAGAAACTGCCTAGATTCAAGGAGCTGTGGAAATATCGCAATATTAATCCTCCGTCTGGTTCTGATCTCTTATGCAAATAAATAAAGCCATAATTAAACAGATTTAAAGCAGTAAATCTTTCTGTTCCCTTTAACAAGTAAATCAATGAACAAAACTTCCCAGCAGAACAAAAGGTCTACACACATTTTACACTGGATTTTATCTTTTTGAGATATTTATTTACATAAATTCCAGTGGAAAGCATAGATTCAACATTAATAGCTTTTTCTTCTTCTTTTTTTAAATACAAAATAAAAACTTACAACTCATGATCCTCATCATATGGAGGGGGGCTCCCTTTGGGTCTGGAGGACATCACTGCTTAATCTACTGGGTGCTAAAAAATACAAAGTAGATACACAGAGGTTTCCTGTTAGAGGAAATAACTAAACCAACAATTAATATGTAAAAATCACACAGTTTCAACAAACATTTTCACATTTAATCTGAGGACAATAAAGCTACACAGCCGGCAGATTTAAAAAAAAAAAAAAAAAAAAAGCTCTCCAGCCTCTAAACCCGCTGATAAAGCGAGTGTTTAAACCAAAGCAGCTTTAAACAGGTGAGCTGCTTTAAACAGGTGAACTTTGACAGCTTTGAACTCACCTGCTGCTTTCAATGACCTCTCCTCTGGAAGCTCTCAGCTGAAACTGCATCCGCTGCTGAAAACAAGCCGAACCACACCCAGCCAGCGCTGCAGGGTGCTGTAGCCACGCCCCCTCCGACAGGTGTCACCAGGTGTCCCAGCCGCACCGGATGTCCATATATGAACAGGCTTTGTTAGACACAGCGATAGAAAGAACACAATGTTTACCTGCGTGTGACACAGTTTTCCCTGTTTTGTTTTGGGGGGGGTTATGCATAGTTGGGGAAGAAAGCGGCATAGTGCTTCCAGCACAATTATTTTATTGAGAAGACTTAACTTTTAGGAAACTAAAGAGACCAAAACGTTTGATTTGATTTTTTTTATTAATGGGGTTAAAAAACAGGAACTTAATGCTATGAAGTGTTTTTTGTATGTTTTAGATCTTTTCATTTTCTTAGACATAAAAAAAATGGTTATCTGGTTATTTTAAAATACAAGTATTTCAAAATGAAATAAAAAAATGTTTTTTGTGTGTGTCATAAAGCAGCCTTGCAATAAAAGTTGGTGGCTAATGGACCTACTGTACAGCTACTCATCCCAACGCTTTCAAAAGCTTTCCAAAAATGAGCTCAAACATATATTTATTGAATGCTCTCCTATTGTTGAGAACACAAGAGAACCACAGTACAATGACATTTATAGTATTTAGATTTATGAACCTGTCTACCAATATTATGATGCCAGAGAAAATCATTTTCAAGATATCTAGAAGCTCTACCAGGGTTCCCGCGGGTCTTTAAAAAGTCTTTAAAGGCATTGAATTCTTCAAAAT